TATTTGCACTACTGTCTTGAAGATGTCTGTAAAAAATAAATCAAGGCAACTGGACTTACTGTATTTTTTCCTTGAAGTCGTTTTGCTGGTCATCCGACCAACTTTCTCAATTCAGAATGACTTGTACAAAAATGATTTGGGAATAAATATAGTGAATGTTGCTTCAATCAACATAATCTGTTAAACATAACCAGCATGGCGTCAGAGACCTCATCGAAGTAAAGTGTTGAGTGCATTTGCATAATTGGAGCTAGCAGGTGTTATTAACCCGCCCAGAGACATGTGTAAGGGCTTGTTCACACGATGTCCGGACCAGATCTGGAGCAGATTTGCAGACGCAGTGCTATGCCTTTTTGACGTGTTCCAGTAGTTTTTTTTGCTGGAGTGGGGCTGTCAGTATGTTAGCTGCAGTGCAGTGCGTTTTTGAAGCGTTTTGCGTTTCCGGACCGTATCCGGACCGGACAAAATGTGACATGCTGTATTTTCTCTGTCCGGACCGGAATGGACTGCGCACGTGAGAACTGTAGCCCATAAAACACATAGGGATACATTGGGATGCATCTGGTCCGGACAGAATCCAGACGTCGTGTGAACAAGCCCTTAAAACAGCACTGACTTCTCCATTTTTGCATAAATGGCCTGTTTTACACCAGTCCTCCTCCCTGTCTAGGATGCATACTTGACTGTCTTCAAAGGAGTGACCTTTTTCCTTTAGATGTAGATACACTGCTGCGTCCTGACCAGAGGGTTTGGCTCTTCTATGCTGTGCCATACGCTGGTGTAGCTGTTGTTTTGTTTCACTGACATACAATTCTGAGCACTCCTCACTGCACTAAATTGCATACACAATGTGGTTCATCTTGTGTTTAGGAATTGGGTCTTTTAGGTGAACCAGTTGTTGCCTCGGTATGTTGCTGGGTTTAAAGCAGACAGGGATGTGATGCTTATTAAAAAAACTGGCGGAAATCTATTCTCTGCCACATACAATGCTGTTTTAACACCTCTCTCTGTGCAGGTTAATAACACCTCCTAGCTCCAATTATGCAAATGCATTCAACACCGTACCTTGTATGCATCTGTGGAGGAGGACTTAGGTAGGGCCACTTATTTTTTAAGATTTCAGCAGTCCGAGGTCCCACAGTGTAGCGGGGGTGCAGTATGGAAAATAACAGATGGCAGCATGGAGCAGAGATAGGTGCAGTATGAAAATTGAGAGATGGCTGCAGGGAGCAGAGATAGGTACAGTATGGAAAATTATAGATGGCAGCGGGGAGCAGATATAGGTACCGTATGAAAAATTATAGATGGCAGGGGGGAGCAGAGATAGGTACAGTATGGAAAATGATAGATGACAGCAGAGAACAAAGACAGGTGCAGTGTAAGTGATGACAGAAGACAGTACTGAGGAAATGGGGTAAAACAAGAGCCTACCAACCACCAAGTGTCAGATGACAGTGATTGGCAAATTGAACATGGACAATAGTACAGCAACACACACACCCCATGACCAGCTGACCACACTCCTGCGCCACATTTTATGCTCCACACATCAGTCGTCAGGTATTAACAGCACATTCTTCGCCACACCCACCTCCATATGTAATCATATGTAACCATAAAACAACCACTCCCACTCATGTCTGTGACCAAATCAGACAAGGCAGCGAGAATCTGACCCCACCCTTCAATCTGTGCAGGTCAGAGATTCATCCGCCCATTCGCTGAGGAATTTCGCAATGGTGCATTTTTCTTCCATGTGTGCACGGGGGTGATTAGAGTGTGCCCGGGCACACCCTGCACACCCCGCATGCACGCCTATGTTTATACATATCAAATTAAAATACCATCTCTTTTTAGTTGGCTATTTTCTTGAAAATACAGACCTGCAGCACATAGTGAATACTATTCTGTTACCTGACATTGACAGGTTATAGGCAATTGAGAGCAATGGGCAAAATTCCCAAAAAATTTAAATTTTCTATAATTTTATCATTCTAAAATTGTCTTTCCTTTTCTATAGCTGCCACCTGAATTCCATTATACTTTGTCTATCCTTTAAGGCTGGCTTTTGAAATGTTACTGCTTATTCTGCAGACTGCCTGAAGTAAACAACTTTCTCATCAAAAGGTTCCTCTTTTGTTTCATGCGCCTCTGTGCTCACTATATTCATTCTCTGTATGAGCTGTAGTCCTATACATGTTTTTAATTCCAGAATAGGTGTAGAATTCTTATGTATAATAAAGAACAGTATATTAGCTTTTTGCTATTTTAAAAAGTAATTTGCTGTTCTCTAGGAGTCTGTTGCAAAGTTCAAATTTTTGTTGCCTCTTATCTTCTTTATGTAACCCAATTTGGGGGATTTTCTCTCACTTGGTGTTCCTCTGACACCTATTCAGGAAAATGGAAGGAAGCTGTTGTTACAAAGAAAGAAAGACACAGAAAGCAATAAAAAAGTCAAACGTTCTAACACATCCTCACTTTTTTTGTTTTGTTTCCATGTCGGAAATATTTCTTATCACTTCCTCTCCTAACGAAGAGTGAGGGGAAATCTCCCCAACAGGGACAGATGGCTATAAAAACAGAGGTTCTAATCAGGGGCGTAACTAGAAATCACAGCCCCATAGCAAAATGTTGTATGGGGCACTGTGATTTCTAGTTATAACCCAATGTTATCCAATGTGAGACTGAGATCTACCTTTTCTTTTAAAGTAAGGTTAAACTGTCAGTAAACCCAAACAAACATTCCTTAATAAAACTTCCCTATTAAATGTTTCTATGTGTGCCTATCATTTAAAATAAAAGGTTAATCATGGAGAAAATGCCCGTTGATCCTGCCAGTCACGTTCACTTTCTTCCTTACGGTGGCAATGATCTGCAAGCTGATCCAGTCTCTGCAGGGCCCTTTAGACTTTAGAATATATGCTGTGCAGCAGTATGGTTATTTTCTGAATCTCTGAGCATTTATAAGCACCAGCTGCAGTCAGATATAGTTGCATGTTCTCATCTCCTCCATTTTGTTGCAGAAAATGTCAAAGGATTCGGAGGTTTAAAGCATTCCTTGTCTAATCAGGCAACCTTTTCTAGCTGTGTTAATGCCTTACTAGTAAACAGTATAATCTTAGTTATTCACAGTTCAGCTGCCCTTACTTGCAGATGTCTGGCTGCAGATTCAAGATCCATTTTGATATGACATTTAGTGTTCTGAACGGCTCACCATTCTCTAAATCCGAGTAGTGCATTTACTGCTGATATATGTTTACCATTAAGCAACCACATATAGCTCTGTATCTATAATAGATCATTTTGTTTTAGGTTACCTTTTTCCAGATGACATTTTACTTTATAGCTGCTTCTAACTGCCTTTTGTTATACCCCTAATTCTCCCACTAACATATTTGTCTTCACCTGCCTACCGCCTGTTAACTTTCAACTTTTTAGTTTTGGGTAGACTGGGGAAGAGTTTTTATTCCTGTCTGTGTCCCCATTGGGGCGAATGTCTCAAATAACAAGCAGCAACAAAAATATGTTGAAGGGTTCACATGTCTCAGGTTCGTATTGCTTAATGTGTGACCTCTGGGGGAAATCCTCCCTCACTTTCTTGTTCCAGTAGCATCCTGTGGGTCATGGGGTAGGACAGGGTAAATGGGGGAACACACTCAGCAGTTATCAGCTAGAACACAGGTTCTAACCCTTTTCAACTTTCTACAAACAAATTGTGAGTTGAGATGGATTTAGGTCCAGTCGGCATTGTCAGTTGTATTGTTATGAAATGCTCACACCATCTTTTGACACCATGTATTGTATTGCAAGTTAGCATATTGTGTACTCCTACCATATATTGTACTGCAAGTTACGTGAGACTTACACGGATGTTCACAGATATTGATTCTGCTTAGTTAGGACATACAGGAAATGATAAAACATAGGTGTGAACAATGATAAGGCTGCATGCACATGAACAATGGAAAAGTCATTGTTACAGGCTATGCCACTCAGAACTGCGCTAACCTGTATAGTGACTTAATATTTATGATTGTGGAATAAGGTACTCCAAATATGTCTTGCGGGGTTGCACTGAGACACTGCTTTGACATTGTGCACACTTTTGAACAATACTCAGTAATACAAATACAGACATGTATTATGCTTTGGTAAATTGTGCTCTATGCTTCACTGAGATTGGGAGTAAAGGTACACCTTCCTCCATTAGCTCGTAAAAACTTTTTGTATTGAGCTGATTTTCTTCAGTTTGGTGAGGTGCTGTATCCACATTATGCAAATATTATATTAGACACTAAATCGGGAATTTGACTGAGCTGACTATCAATTAAAAAACTATTTTCAGCTGTTTCCTCTGGACGAGCCTCCAACAATGACTTGATGATTGGTTTAAAGTCCCATGTGACCTACCCTGCTAAGATTTAAGACAGGATACAGTGCATTCTTTTTCATAGGTTCTGATGAAGGGGGCGTGCCCCAGAAACGCATAAACCTGTTGTAATCATAGGGACAGAGGACGCTGGCGAATTACATCTCTCCAGACTCTCCCTGCTAGAGGTTCCGACTTCTCATCTTACTCTACTCATTTTTATTCAACTGAATTGTTGTAGGTACAGCCTAGATCTGCGTGTTTTACTATTAAATTACTCTTTTACACTATGGAGGCGCTTTCTTTCGTTCCTTGTCTCCTATATCTGAGATTTGGACAGGGCAGGTGATCATGAATGTTGGGCTGGTCTGGTATTTTACATTAGGTCTGGTGGAACTGGGGATATTACAAGGCTGATCTGATTGTTAAAATACTCCATAATTGTTCTTTCCCTTAGCATGAACTGGCTTTCAGAAGCTACAAAGTCAATAAGAGGCAGCCTTTTTCAGGTGTTTTGGCAGAATATAGGCCTAAGCTATTTTGTTATTTTGATTACGTGTAAGTAACAACTTTTCTTTTCCCTTATTTACAGATTGGACACTAACAGCAAGATATGGAGTGAGCATCAAAACGATAAAGTGATGGACAGCCAGGAAGATAGAGCGTCTGCCCCCCAAGCAGCCAACACTCTTCTTATTAATGGGATTACTGGTAAATTAATTTACAAGGTCCATATTTTCCATACTCATTTACTGTAAAGATAAATTATATGCAGTAATCCATGGGAACCAAACAAAAATAGTTGATCGGTGTGTTAGTTTGTTTGCCCATATTAATGAAATATTAATAAATTGTTTAGTCATCCTTGCATTTATTAAAGCCCAACTCTAGCACGGTACCAGATAGGTACCTACATTTTCCTTACAATATTTTTTACTTCTTCCCCCGCACCTACCTGTAAAACTGCTCCAAAGTGGCAGTTATGTGACCGTTGCAGCTCTTCAATGCTATCCTCTAACTGCAGACTGTGGGCAGAGATGAACAGTGCACACACATCACACATCTGTTAGGCTGGGTTCACACCTGGGCGTTTTTCCGCGCTTTCGTACTCGCGGAAAAACGCTCAAACAGGGAAATGCCATTATTTTCAATGTGCATGGTTCCCATCTGGGCGGTTTTCCGTGAGTACGAACGCGTGGGAAACCGCCCTACGCCCAAAGAAGTACATGTACTTCTTTGGGGCGTTTTGGTCGGGCGTTTCCATTGGGATACAGCCAAGTAGCCCTCGGAAACGCGTGGTTTTCGCGCGTTTTTTTTACCGCGAATCGCGGTAAAAAAAACGCGCGAAAAACGTGCATATTCAATACGCCTAGGTGTGAACCCAGCTAATGTGTGTGTCATTAAAGGACTCCAAGCATAAATGCAATTGTGACTGTACTCCTGTAGCCAAGAGGACTACAAGAGGTGTGACCATGACTGCCTGTGCTAGGAGAAAGGGGTTTGAAGAGGCTGGGGGTCATTCCACTCAGAAGTGCAACAGTGTGTTGTATAGGCAGTTATGAAGGAGTGTAGTTCCGCACAGCAGGGAGGAGGGGCTGAGCATGGCATTAAAAGTTAGCATTCCTATATCTGCAGGGATCAAATTTAGAAAACAAGAGGAAACCAAGGAAGTTGGAGTTGGGCTTTCAACTAAGGCCATAATTTATTGTTTGATCCCCCCAGCCATCTTCTGTTAACCCTCTCATTCTCCTGGTTGTATTTTCAGGTTTCACCCCAAATGCATCTACAGCTAAAAAAAATCTAGTCTGCTGTAGTTGTGTTCTGTGTCTGAACCAATGGATATGTATTTGTCACCAAATCTTCCTCTGTATGACCAGGAGGGGACTTTTTGAATAAATTACAAAATCCGGTTAGAAACCCTGTAGTGCTGCCTTGTTATAATAAAAAAAAAGAAAAGAAATCTGGCATTTCCTTTCACAAAAAGTGTTGTTGTAGAAAAAGAAAATTTTCACATGAAATCTCTGTTCTGCTGCCAACACAGGGTAAATAAAGCTTTGACATGACTTAAAGAATACTCCCACACATAAATAATGTCATAATGGGTGTTTGTATACTCATGTCAGATAATTATTGATCAAGTCTATATTGAAATATAATTAGTTTACATACCTAGGGGTCCTTTCTCTATAATGTAGAGGCCATTAACAATCGTTAACAGTCATTCACTTGAATTGCTGTTAACGATCATTAATGGCTTTTGCATTTTAGAGACTGGGTCCAACTGTGAATTGATGTTTATATACATTTATACAGTGAGCAGCATGAGAAACAAAAGCACTAAAACACTGTATCTTTCTCCCTTTCGCAGAGCCGCATGATCCCGTAGATGATGTGAAGTCCTATGATGCTGCAGATGCTTCTGTCACATTCCCAGCCTTAACACAGAAAGAACTTCATGCCTGTCACAGAGCATTGCCACCAATCATTTCCAAAGAGCCTTGCTTGCTGGGCCCTCCTTCCCCCCTGAGGCTATCAGATACAGCTGAACATGTTAGTAGTGATCCTTCAGTTCAGGCCATATCTCTGACAACCTGTGCTACCAAGGGCCTTAGCACCTGGTCTTTGCCCAGTGAAAGTGAAAAAACGCCTTTTACCATCATAGAGCCTGGAGCTATGTCAGCTTTGACTGGCGATTGCTTGATGCAACAAAGTCGGACCTGCTTAGGTTGTTTTATAGAAACAAAAGATGGAGTAGATTCAGAACCTGGTGTCAGTTTGAAAATGGGAGATATAAGTAGAGACTATGACACTTGTCCAGTTACTGACATGGGAATTCACTGCATGAGTACTGGAGACAGCATAAAATATGGTGATCAGCTGCTTTCTGATCAGCTGTTAAGCTTTCCTGTTCATAAATCTCAAGAGGCTGATAAAAGGGATCAAGATAAGTCTGATAGTGAGACAGAGGACCCTTCTCAAAAGAATTATTATGAGGGTCTGCTACTGGACAAATGCAATGGAGATGAAGCTCTGCTGTCCAATCCTAACCAGGAGTGGGGCTATTTTGAATCCTTTATTAGTGAGAGTAAAATTGAACTTCTGGATCTGTGCTCAAAAAATGAACTGTCTGTCAATTTGTTTTCAGAGGAAGATGTGGACAATTACATGTTTGATGATGATGATTCTACTCTTGGTAGCGATGTTTGCTCGTTAAAGATCAGGTATGAATCGTTTCAAGATAATGTAAGAGAGAAGACAAATGCCCTACAAGAAGATGCCCAATTCAATTTCTTCCCAAGCGTCTTTACTAATTGCACCAAGAAGGAAAGCAAAGTGTCCAAGAAAAGGGTAGCAGACCCTTCTCAATTCAAACTTGAAGAAGGTGGAATATGGGAAGAAGATGAGGATGAAGATGAGGAAGGAGATGGTGAGGGCATGAAATCTACCTTGAGCAAAGCTTGTGGCAATGTTGATGTGGTGCAATATATTAGCACGAAAAGAAGCCACTTTTTGGATTCAGTAAATTCAGCAGAAGACTCTGGAGAGTACAGTGATGACAGTTCTTGCAGTGAATCTTCATATGATGTACTGGGAGACATCAAGGACTGTACCAGATATCTATCACGTGAGCATTCTCACTCCCTTATCCAGCCAAATTATGGACTAAGGGTGAAGAGGAAAGTCAGGTATAGTGATGACTACTTGTATGATATGGATTCCCTAGAGAATGAGAAGGTTGTAGAAAAGAAGGAAGGTGCACCAGATGGACCCAAAGAAGAAGATGATGATGACTGGTGCCCTAAAAAACGTAGGAAAGTTTGCAGGAAGGAACCACCAGTCATCATTAAATACATAATCATTAATAGGTTTAAAGGAGAAAAGCACATGCTTGTCAAGCTTGGTAAGCTTAATGCAGATGAGACCACAGTTAACCTAAGTGAAGACCAGCTATCAAAACTTCAAAAACTTGCACCACAGAAAGAGTATTGGGAAGAAAAGAGGCGAAACACATCAGCTTTGAATGCGCAGAGAAATCTCAATGGCTTAGAAAACACCATTCAACCAAGGAAGAGAAAAGGCCAGCTAGCAAACCGGCATAGATTACAGAGGATTCAAACTATTGAACAACCACTGGGCAGGGAGATGCTTTCTTCTTATGAACACAGACAGGGATGCAGCAGCAAAGATGATACCAGCCTTAATGACGTGCATACATTAGCCCTAGAAACCCCAAGCTGTGTAAATGGATTACATTTGGCTGACATTGCAGAGGTTGCGCCTGTGAGGTGCAGATCTCTAGAAAGGGAACTTAAGTGTGCAGACAGGAAGGTTATAAGGAGAATCAAGTTTAAAAGTGAAGCCAGGTTAAAATGCAAACAGCTCAAACTTGAGCAGGCAAATGCTATTAGTAATACAGAACCAGTGGAAAACTTCCCTGCCATGGAGAACCAGGACTCAGTACCTCTTCTGAAAGAAGAAACCATCCACAGTACGCCAGACTCTTCCCATCCTTTGCAGTGCCATGGTGAAAACGAAGCTAAAAATTCTCCTTTTCTGCAAACCACCTGCTCTCCTGACAAGCCATTACCATCTGCTCACATCAGCAACAATGTACCAGTTCTCCCTGGAGGGTATCTACAGACACTCTTAGATGCATCGGACTCATCTTCTGGCACTGCTATAACATACTTTGCCCCTCATCCCTTGGGGCAGCACTCAGTTAGCATTATGCAGACAGAAAAACAATTCAGCTCACTACAACTTGCAAAGAGCTGTGTTCTCTCCCCCCCTTCAGAATCTGAACTGCAGCAGTCACCACATCACTTAGAAATGGAGCAGAGCTTCCCAGACATGTGGCATGGCAAGCCTCCTAGCAGCCAAGCTGAGTTCATATCAAACCTAAGGGAAGTGTCCATCATATCCGGAGACTTTGCCGATTCAGCGGCTGTTTCAGGCACAGACATCACAGCCTTGGGATATAGTCAAGCTCATCCAAACAACACTAAACAGCTGTACCACAAAACATATTTGCAAGAAGGCCAGATTCAGCAGGATGACTCCTATCAGACATGTCATTATAATAGTGGAGATAGCCACTATGTTCTGCAGAGAGGCACACTTAACACCGACAATGGAAGGCTTATTAGTTTTGACTCAGTAGGCTCGTTGTCTGTTAGTTCCAGTAATTATAGCTCTTTAAGCTTGAAGTCTTGTGAAAAGGATGGAGAGGATGAAATAAGCGATGATTTCTTGGCCCACTGTAGTCCCAAACTTGTAATTCAGCAAAGCATTGATGAAATCACACCACTGAAGGAGTCAACTGATCTCCTTGACATCTCCAACTTCACCCCTGACAAATTCCGTCACTCATCACTTTCAGAGATGTCTCCACCTGATACGCCCAATCTTTCCCCTCAAATCACAGGTACAGAGGTGAAATCAGTAGGAAACCTTAAACCTTTTCAGAATGGTGCCCCGGCAGTGCATAATGGATCAGAAAAGACCAAATGGAACTGTACTGTTCTTCCTTCACAAGAGCAGATTAATAGTGGCTTTACATTAAACAATCACCAGTTTCAGTTTCATATGTTTAATGATGAAGATTCAGTTACAGTTCCTGATAAAAACACATGTCTCCCAGTGTTTGATGAGTCTTCAGTGCCCATCCATGCTATCGGCAAAGCCTCAAAATCGAAAAAGAAACTTTCTGCCACCAAAAATACAGGTGCCAACCAAAGCTCTACTCCAAAAAGTAGCAAGAAGAAATCCTCCAAGGCTAGCAAGGGGGTAGAAAAAACACAGACAAAAGCCCCTCGGCAAACAGGTTCCAAGTCATCTAAGAAAGTTAAAAATGATAAAGCCCAGACTGCTTGCAATGGATCAGATGTACTGAATAATGCCAGTCCTGATAAGCAGGGTTTAACTGACTGTATGCAGATTTATGGGCCGGGCTCATCCAAGGCAGGGAAGCGTCCAGCAGAGTGGACGCATGATAAAGGAAACAATTCATGGCCTGATGTGAACGGAGGAAATGCCAACAATATAATTGATGATGATCAAAGAGAATTTGAGGAACCTTCTAACATTCTTTCTAACATAGCATCTGGCATGGCTGATGTCCAGAGGTTCATGATGGCCTCAATTGAGCCATTTTGCAGTCCCATGGGTCACAGTGACATCCCAGATATATTACTGTCTCCCGAGTCAAACAGTCTAAAATTGAAAACATTGAAAATTTTGGCTAGTACACCACAGGATTTTAAGAAGAAAGTAAATGGCAGCTCAATGGGGGGCTCCAAGAAGTCAACCAACAAGGGCTCAGGTAAGAACAATGCTAAGTTTGGAGTTTTTGACCCAAGCTGCTCACTAAGTTATGGAGGAAACCTTCATGCAGCCTTTTTTGATAAGAACTTTGGAAATCTTGGTATATTAACCAATACTGTACCAACCCACAAAAAGCTGTACCGTCATAAATCAACATCTAAATCGCTGCGTGATGAAAACTGTAAAGGTAAAAGAATAGACCAAGCACATAAGGACCCAATGGTCACAGCTGCATTTGAAAAACTGAGGTAATGTTGCACCAAATGTTGTCTAAAATGCATTTTTTTCGTTACTTCACAATTGCAAAGCCTGCTGGTCTTTTTTTTTTCTCTTTAGTTTGCCCTAACAATTCCTAAAAAAGGCTAAAGCTGCATGATAGCCACTGCCTTGCAATTAAAAAGAGGCTGCGCATGACAAATGCTAACGAGCTACCTAAAATCACTGGTTCTTGACTAGGCCGGGTTTTGCAATGACTAACGACTAAGAAAACGTCTATTTTCTGCTATCTGGCTTCTTTATTTCAGAAATACATTTTTTGTGCTTCTTTGTTTCTAACACAAAGATTTTCTTTATCAAACGCCTTGTAAAAAAATAAACAAAAAAAAGAGTTTCAAAAGGAAATATATGCATTGAAATGCCACAATGTGGAGTCTCTAAAGGATTCGAAACACATATACTTCGATTCACGTGGTCCACAATGTGTTCTTCAGCTCCCCCTGCTGCACATTTGAAAAATCTGCATAGGAGAATCAAAATGCATAAAACTGTTTATAGCCCCACCTATTGTATTGAGCTGATACAAAGCATTTTTTCTCTGCAGGAATTTAAGAATACATTCAAAAGTGAAAAAAAACATTTTGGATTTTTGAAGAAAAAAAAAAACTTTTTTTTTTTAAATTACATGGATGTTTATGTTTTGTTTCTTTTGAATATATGCCGTGTGATTTGTTGATCTGTTAAGTGCTGAAATCCAGGGTTTACATTGTGATGATTTGTTGAAGGGCAGCTTAATCTGGTATTCTCTGTGAAAGACTGTTTTAAAGTCATACTGTTGTACAGTAGTTAATGCACTATTACAACCCACAAACTAAATGAAATTGTGCCAAACTCTGATCTGTGACTGTACATATTTTTATTATATATAATATATAGAATCAAATATATATTACTGCATTTCATTGGTGGGTATTCTCAGTCTGGATCTGAGCCTTTTACTCTACTGCAAACATTCCAAAATACGCATATAATGTCACCAGAATTGTGAAGCACCTAACTCGCTGGGTTCTACTGATTCATCAAACTGCATTCTTAACGTAGCAAAATTAGTGCCATATTTTCTTACCTCATTTTAGCCTGATTACTAGAAACATGATGTTTTAAAATGCCTATTATGATATCACCTATGTACTCGAGGAAGACCAAAGGTGACAGAGATTTGCTCTCCCTTCTTTTTATTTTACAAACACTTCAGCACTAAAGTGCAGAGCAATATGCTGCAAGACCCCATTATTTTGATGTAATCAAATAATGGGCCATAGCTAATCAGAACTACTGCACAAAAATGTAATTCCTGATGCCAGTATTTTTAGTAAAAATGCTTCCTAAAAGTGAATACTGTAAATTACTAAATAGAAGGCCTTTTCAAACAACTGATGTGCTGTGTCCTCAGTCTATATAACAGCAGACACAGTGGGCTTCAGCAATGAGCAGGTATGTCTATCCTGATTGGTGCAATAGACAGCATCAGTGTTTTCAAGTTATCCAGCACCCAAGAGTAGTATAAAAAATATACTTTTTGAACAAACATGCTGCAGTAATTAAACAATACACATACAACATATATATTTTATTACATTTTGATGTTTACATTCTGTTGATATTTTGATATAACTTTATGTCATTGTGTATTAAAGGGAGGCTCTGGTTATACTGAAAAAAATCCCTCCGAATCAACTTTATAGCATATCATCACTTGCTTTTGTTCTGAAGATATTGTACAAGTTCAGCTGCTGAAAACGAGTGCCAAGTGTTAGGGTCTGCTTACAATAATTACATGATCAGTCCCAGTGTTATAATAGGAAACAATGAACTAGAATTCCTGTAGATGTGCAGCACCTTTGCAAGTATCTTACCAAAGATGAAACTCTTAGTGCAGGACGTTGCTCAGGCTCTGTGCAGACTTTTTGGAAAAGCAGTAGGCCAATTACAAGTGCAAGAGGATGAAAATTATGTTAAATTCCATTTAAAAACTGAGCATGGTTGCTACGAAGGGAAATGTAATTTTTTAGCAAATCATTGCTGGTTGCAGATTGAAATGTTTAAAAACATTAAATTACAGGATGGCTTATGTACCAATTTTATATGACCTGAGAAGTTTTTATGCTGCAAAAAATCTATTTATAGAATTGCCCACTGTTACAGAACTTTAAAGTAATAAATAAACCCACAGGACTAGTTTTGCAAACATAAACCTTTCTAGGTAACCCTATTGATAAGATACTGTAAGGTAAATAAAATATGTGACAATATATTAAACGGTTATCTGTTTTGTTCACACAAATTAATTTGGATTAGGTCTACCCTATATGTATGTATGTGCTGTTAGATATACTGTGTAAGAGAATTTATCTGCCCAATAATACTGAGTAAGAGAGAAATAATGTGAACCCCCATAAAAGAAAAAAACTATAAAGTAAGATAGGGATGCTTCTATACTTACCCCGATACCAGAACTTCCGGTCAGAGGGAGATTGCCTCTGAGCAGCATTGCCACGAGGGAGCATGGAGCTGGCTTCCCGGCCAATCAGGAAGCCGACTTCAAGCTGCCTAGCGACACTGCGAGGCAGCCTGGCTTCCTGGCCAATAAGGAAGCTGGGCGGCAGGCCATGGCCCACCACCCGGCTTCCTGATTGGCTAGGAAGCTGGCTTCATGCTGCCTAGCAACACTACGAGGCAGCCTGGCTTTCTGACCAATCAGGAAGCCGGGTGGCAGGCCATGACCTACCATCCGGCTTCCTGATTGGCCGGGAAGCTGTGCTCAAGCTACCTCGGGATGGGGTATCGGTACTAGGTATCGGCAAGTACTGATAAAAAAAAATGGTATTCATACCGAAAAAACGGTATCGGTGTATCCCTAAGGTTGTGTATCTGGCACAGTACTGTGCCTGTATTTATCTTAACCGCACTCCCCCACCACTTCAGTTTGCTACTACAGCCCATCAACAGCCCTATGCCAATAATGACTTTCTGATTTTTCTGTATTTACATAAGGCTTGGTATTCCCAATGACAGTGCTCAAACCTGGCAATAGGCAGTTCAGAAACCCAGTACTGAATTTTTCTGAGGCAGGGAGCTGTGTCTATGTCTCCCATGCCTGTTTTCCTAAGATACAGGCATCAAATTAGGGTGGCGGGAGAACATGGTTAAAATGAAGGTAAGTGCAGGCACCTTATGGCACTGGCTGCACAGCCTTAGCCTTTTATATCTTTTTTTCTTAACAGATGTTTGATTTAACATTAGATTATCCACGGATTGAAATCAGGCCTACAATAATCATAATAATCAAAAGCCATAAAACCCTGCATAGGTCAAATGTACATGGTAACAAATGTCTTTATTTCAATATTAATTGCTGATTGACAGGTTTTTGACAAGACCGATGTGTGTTTTCATATGAAAGCTGTATATTGCACATCATATTATGTATATGCAGTCTTAAGGATATCACTGAAATGGACTATATGGTATAGTGCTTTTGTATATATAATCTGACTGTGAACTTGCCTTTCCAATTTGATATATGTTTCTATATGCAAATTTGAATTCTGTTGTTAGAGGGCCATGAAACATACAATTCAAACAAATTATAAGAACTACTAATAACATTTGCAGATTTCATCTATTATTCTCTGCTAATGATATGCCATGTTAATAAAGCTACCTGCAGAAACTGCCAGTGCCAGAGAAAGTATGTCCCAAGTTACTGACCGTTTTGCTACAGATTCAGTAAAATTATGCATTTCAAAAATAAATGTGGACATGTTAAGTATTATCCCCAGATCCAGGGAAATCAGAACACTTAGCGAGTATGCATATTGCCTATAGAGAATACAAATTCAAATATGGTAATCATTCTTACCAATCTCCATTTTTAAATTTTTAGATAACAGAATTTAAGGAATGGGAAGTAAAGAGGTCTAATGCCCTATAGAATATAGGCATGAATCCTTATTGCAGGGATACCCCTTACTATCCATACAAATCATTCTCCAGTTTCCCATTTTTCTCAGCCTGCAGTCCCTAGATAACAAGAAGACGCATCTTAAGAGTCTGTTCCAGAACTTTGTAAAGACATGTGGACATGTTACGCAAGTTTCTTTTAACAATGACCCATCTTCCAGCAGTCTCGTCTATCATATTGGAAAATGACTGGCGAGGACTCCACCTAGAAAGCGTAAGGCACAGCCATCTACATCTCAAGTAAATGTTGAGTGCAAGGCATATGTGTGGACCTAATTCCATTTGGATCAGAGGTTTTAAAATCTATCCTAAATGGCCACAGCAGCAGGCAATGGTTAGCTTATGGCAAATGATTTAATCACAGGTTGGTTCTGGTTTTTAAAGCCATCTGAAACTTATATACACACAGTTGGGATTGTATGTAATTGTTCTTTATCTTATAGTATTATTTGTATGATTTCTAGTGGACAATATCTAAAACAGCAATGGTATTATACAGTATCTCTTATTAATGGGCTTACTTGAGATTTTATTATGTGGCAAATAAGTTGCGCTCGGTCTAGTTGTGAATGGATGTGAAAGTGCTCTCTCAAAACCCAAAGGGGGAGATCACCTTCAGATAACAAAATAAATTTTAAATATAAAGTAGATGTCTCCACTAGTGATAGTGAACTAATGTTTGAAGATGCAGAACTCAACCCGGTGGTACTCGAGTGTATTGTATGTGTGTCGTGGGTTTTAACTGGCTAAACAAATCAGTTATATTGAAAACATCCGTAAAGGCATAATCATAAAGCAATAATATGTGAGAAAACAGTGAATAAAAGCACCTACATATAAAATCCAGTAAATAGTTAAACAACAAGTGATACGTAATAAAAACGAAAACGAAAAAATAAATAAAAATAAAATAAAAATAAATATAAATATAAAAAATAAAATAAAAAATAAATAAAAATATAAAAAAATAATAAAGTGCAGCCCAGTGCGTGTTAGTTCCTCTCAAAACGGGA